GCATACGTGAATCCTTTACTTCAGTCGGTACTGGATGCATAGCAAGTGATAATTTGGGTTGAGAGTTCGTGGGTTTGTTTGTTAGTTTAGCGCAAGCAACTTCTTCGGTGCTCAATTTCGTTGGAAAATTTGAAGTGTTGTGAATTAATTTTTTTGGCGATCGTCTTTCATTTGCTATTTCATTCGCCAAACCTTCGTCTACTTTTAGCTTTTTTGTCAAAAACATTTGATTGTTGACATCGTCTGGTTTCTTTCGTTTCTGTGTCAAATATGGTCTCTGTGTCACCTGTTGTTGTTCAACAGAATACACTCTACACTCTCCATATTTCAAATTCATCATAAATTGATCATATGTTTTTGTGACTCTGCAGAAAATGAAATAATCAAACGTTTCAATAAGTAAACCGTGTTAAGTGGTTAATCACCAGCAAATCTCTTGGATATAGGAATGTATCGGAACGTTCAATGGAAAAAGATACAAAAAATGACGAAATTGAGAAAATGGACATACCTTTGTTGGATGAGTTGTGAAAAATGAGTGCGAAAATGTGCATTGAAAGGCAGTCCAAATTGTTTAAAGTCATCGCAAATGCCAATCAATGCTAGTGCTACCTCCCGTTCAATAACACAATGCATCTCCGTCATCAAATCGACATAATTGTCCCCTGATTGTACCGTTCGGTTTTCAAAACTAGACATCGTCGGTTTAACTGAAAATAGCAGACATTAATTATTTGCCAATATCCATATACTTGATTGATCCCATGGAATATTAAAAACGGTCACAATGCATGGAAGAAAATCACTCCACTGTTGATAATTACCTCTCTACTTTTGGCTTTGACACACATGCAGTAAATCCAATCATTTCCAAATTACCTTTTCAATTTTTCTGCGTCTTTATATTTATATTTATAGCTGTTGTTGATTAATCGAACAGTCGTCAGTTTTATCGAATGTATAAACTGCTTGAATCAAAATTTGTTGATATGTGACAGTCAATGAATGAGCGGTGTTTTTGACATCTCAATAGTCGGCGAATAAGTACAACCAATTCAATAACAGAGAAATTGACACTCGGTGGTTTGTGCGAACTCACACATTCACATCACTTGCCGCAGTGTCTTAGTAGCGAACGCACACTTAAGAAACATGGGAACAATACACACACAGCAATGGAATTGACAACAATTTGCACAAATTTGCATAACAGTGTCCAATGTACAATTCATAGGGTAAACAAAAAAATACGTGGAAAGAGGAGAAAGCGTCCCTAGTCTTTGTATAATGTATATGCTATAGAAATACAGTGGCAAATTCAATTTGGTTCACTGTTATTTTCTTCGCACTCATTGTTCTGGTCAATATATCGGTTGCTAAATATATCGGTTATTTTTTGACAAAAAATATGAAATAAAAAATGTATATTCTTGTCGCTTCATTAAACAATATTTTTAATGATATCATCTATGGTTTGGTTTATTTGAATGAATTTCTTTTTTTGCATTCTTTAACAATCTCGTCCCATTTCAAATAAAAATGAAATTAAATGTGTTGGTTAATTGGGTTAAAAAATTTTTTTTGAATTGATCTTTTCAATTTTCGCTATTGGACAATGGGATATCCCCAACATAAGGTCTATTTCTAGAGAATGATTCAAAGGAGGGACATTCACCACTAAAAAATTGAGTAATTTCGTTGAGCACAAAAATCGTAGAAATAAATCTTTCATTTATGAATATTTTTTTGGTGTCCCTTTAGATGTGCTTTCTGTGAAAAAGCAGCCTTACAATATTGACATTTGAAAGGTCTGTCACCAGTGTGTATTCTCATATGCGTCTTCAAACGAGCTATATTTCGATGACAATATCTGCATAGATAACATTCATACAGTCTTAAATTGCAATGCGTTTCGTGCTCATTCAAAACTGATTTGTCATCATATTGTCTATTGCACTTTTTACATCGATTCCCGTGAACCTTTTCCATGTGAATATCGAGAATATCTTGGTCTGCGAATTTCTTTCTGCATTTGTCACAACGAAATGGCTTTTTTTGATGCAGCGCTAAATGTCGCTTAAAGTTTGCAAAATAGCCACTTTGGAAATTGCATTGATC